GCAGGCGCGCAGGGTCCGGCCGGCGACCGCGAGGGTGTGGAGAGGCGAGCCTGAGCGCGGGCCACGGTCGCTCTGACCACGGAGCCCGGCCACCGCAGCGCCCGCAGCAACGAGCGCGCCCAGGACAGAGCGCGAACGAGTGCGCGCGGGCGGGGCGCGCAGGCCCTGCCCGCCCCTTCCGTCCCCACCCCCCTCCGCCCCTTCCTCTCCCCACCTTCCTCTCCCCTACTGCGCCCCCGCGCCGGGCGCCCACCCTGTCCTCCTGCGGGAGCGCGGTCCGCGGCGGCGGCCGGAGCGGGCCAGGCCAGGCCGGGGGATGGCGCTCCTGGACCTGGCCTTGGAGGGAATGGCCGTCTTCGGGTTCGTCCTCTTCTTGGTGCTGTGGCTGATGCATTTCATGGCCATCATCTACACGTGAGTGAGGGGCTGCTGGAGGAGCCGTTGGCGCGGCGGTCAGGGCCTCGGGGTGGGTGGGTGGGAGGCATTGCGCTTTGGAGAGGATTGGGCTCGGGTGGGGGTGGAGAAAGCTGATTCTCATACTGTTCCCCGCCCCCCCCCATTCCCTTTCCCCTTGGACCAGCTGGGGCGGGGGTCCTTGAGGGGGGAAAGTGATGAGTGAGGGATTTTGCTGGGCTGCGGGCGACTGCACGGCCAGGGGAAAGGAGACTGTGCTCTTTCTACGTGTCGGGCGGAAGGTTGCTTGCTTGGTTTCATTGTGTCGAGAATTCGTTTGATTTTTCATCTGGGCCGAGATGTATAGTATGTTGTTGCTGTTGTTTTCTCGATCTGGACGACATTTCTATTATGATGATGATCGTTCCCAGTCTTCTGGGAGCTGCACACAGCTACCCGGGGACCTCCCTGTGGATTTTCTTCTTCCTGGAAGAGCTCTATGCTTTTAGATAGGTGTGAAGCACCTGTCCACCTTGAAAAATGTCCACCAAACCTCCGGGCTGACGTTATAGCCTTGAGTCATGTCAGCTTGTACATTTCATTGTGGTTTTCTTTTCTTTTTTCCAGTTCCTTATTTATAGTCTTCCTTAGAGTTGTCCCTCCCCCCCCACACACACCCCTTTTTCATTATTCAACAAATACTCCTTGAGGCCTACTAGATGCCATTCACTGGGGACACAGTGGTGAGAAGGACGGAATTCCTGTCTTCATAGAGCTTACATTCTAGAAGGGAGAGACAGATAATAAAAATTCGAATAAGGTTATTTCAGGTAGTGATAAAGTCTGTGAGTAATATAAAACAGGGTGGTGGGATGAATAATGACAGAGGGTATGTGGCTAGTTTTGATATTTCAATTTTCTAAATGTCTTTAAAATAAAATCTGTTTTTCCAAAGAAATGAAAGAATTGCATAGAGCACATTTCTGATGGATTCACTGGCATTTTAGCCTGAAAAAAAAAAAATGACTATACATAGTAATCTTTATCACCAACTAGAAGAGGGCATGTGTTAAAAGAGGAGATGGGAGGACTTTTAAGAAATTTGTTGCTCCCCCCCCCTTTTACTACAGAAAAAAATGTGCTTTTTCTTTTGGAAGTTCTGCATTAGTGTAGGGTGGCATTTCCTGGTACTGGAGAAAGATGCTACATTGTAGAAGACCTACCAGTATTTCTTTGGAGATGAAAGAAAATGCCACTTGGATATTGCTGATCTTAGTTTTTGTAGTTTGTGAACTGTCGTCACTGAACACTTTCTGGAGTTCATTTTTAATATATGAGTTCTTAAAAATCAATTTTGTTCCTTTTTTCCAATCATAGAAAATGTTTACTATGTAAGGAATTTAGACAGTACAGAGTGGAATAAAGAAGAAAGTTAAACACACGAACCAAAACTCCCTAACCTTTTGTGACTGTCTTTGTGTGTGTGTTTGTGTGTGTGTGTGCGTGTGTGTGTGTGTGTGTGTGTGTGTAGAGAGAGAAAGGAGATAGAAGGGAGGGAGAGAGAGAAGGGGGGGTCAACATTATGATTATTGTTCTATAGCTTGCTTTTAAAATTAATCTATTTAGTAAATGCTTTCTGGGAAGCTCTTTTGTACAAGGCACTATTCTAGGTGCTGGAAATAAGGTTGAAGAACAGGACATCCAGGGTTTGCCCAGCCTGCTCACATGGAGGTTACATGTAGTGTCATGACCATTTTTTTCCATGTTAGTAAATGTATGATCTCTATATCATTTTAAATAGATGCATAGCATTTTTGTTTATGAGGTACTAGTATGTATTTGTTGTTATTAATTGGCATTTAGGTTGTCAGTTCATCAAGATAACAAACACTGTGGTGAATTCATATGTGTATATTTTTGAGAGAGGATTTCCTTAGTTTACATTCCTGAAAGAGGAATTATTGGGCCAGAAGTCTGCACATTTTAAACTTTGATACATATTGCCCTATAGAAAGTTGTATCTATTCATAGTCCTGGTAAAAATATATGATGGTGCCCATTTCCCAAGTATCAGGCTCTTCACTGTTTTATTTTCATTCCTTTAATTACTGGTTCCATTGAACATTTTTCATATATTGATACGCTAGTTACATCTAGTTGTAAATTACATACTCATAATCCTTTGTCCTGCAATCCATTGCTCTGTTAATCTTTATATGAAGATTGTTCTGTGATAGGTTGAAGTTTTTTCCCTAGCTTTTTTTTTTTTTTTTAATGTTTTTGACTTGTGTAATTTTATATCTAGTCCTCCAATTATTATATAGTTAATATCTGGTTTTCTTTAGTAATTTGAATTTTCTTCGTTGTCTTTTTTTTTTTTTTAAGGTTTTATTTATTTATTTGACAGAGGGACACAGCGAGAGGGGGAACACAAGCAGGGGGAGTGGGAGAGGGAGAAGCAGGCCTCCAGGGAGCCTGATGTGGGGCTTGATCCCAGTACCTTGGGATCGTGACCTGAGCTGAAGGCAGACGCTTAACGACTAAGCCACCCAGGCGCCCCTTCGTTGGTTGTTTCTTGTTTTTGTTTTGTTTTACATTTTATCCTGTAATATACTCGTTTTACTTCATTATATGATGAGAGCCAGAGCCTTAATTTTAGGTTCACCTAAATATTTAGCCACTTGTCCCAAAATCACTTAGTGAATTACTATTTTATTGTTCCATTATAGACTAAATTCGTCTGTATACTTGCATATGTCTCAAGGCTCCCAGTGCTGTTTCATTGATCTATTCTTGTACTAGTATCCACTGTTTTAATTAATGAAGTTTTACTACCTTATTACTGGTGAGGCAAACCCCTCATTCTTTTCCAAACTTTATTGGCTTTTACACATTTTTACTTAAAGGTGTATTTTAACATTTTTTCCAAGACTCTTAAGTAATCTGGTTTTATAACTGCAATTTTTAAATCTTGTTCTTAAATTGGAATTATTAAATGTACAGCTCAATTTGGAAGAGTTTGACTTCTTTCAACATAGGACTATGATATTCCCCTTCCCTCAATTATATATACATAATGGTAAAGTCATAGTTCTTTTTTTTTTTTTTT